ATTGAATGAAAATGATACAAATTATTTTGCTTCACTAATAAATAAGTGCATAAGTAGATCCTAGAAATTCAGTCCTGGGAGCCCTGACTCAATTAAAACCACATAAGTACCATAAGGCAGAAGTTCATTTGTATATGGAATACTCAGTGCTGTTGTAATCTTAGTTCTTATATCGTTATCACTTCTCTAACTGCTTTTAATTTTTTCTCTGTAGATCTTATGCTAAAATAAATAATCTGCTCTAAATTGTAAAAGAAATTAGCACAAATTAATTCCACTTTGTTTTTCAGTAGATATGCAAAGTTTATATAGAGCTGTTGGTTTAGACCCAACATTTTGTACCAATGAAACAAGTTTATAAATGACAGATCCTTGTGAGGATTGACTTAACTCAAAATTATCTCTGGAATTGCAGTCTGTCAATTGGAACCTCGTTTACTATTCACTCACCATCCTTTTGGTTTCATTCAAATATTCTTAGATTTTTATCTAAATCCATGTGTAATTTATCACTTTATCAAAGAGAGAAATATTTATGCCTCTTTGAAAATTCAGAAAATTCCTCTAGAAAAAACAACACAAATGCTTAATTAGCTTTAGCATTTGGGGGCTAAGTTGGGCTATCATCAAAGAGAGCATTCAACCAAATAATTTTCTTCCAGTTACATCACAGTCTACATATATATCCTTCCCCCAAAGGCAATGTTTGAGTTACGTGTAAATAGTTTAAATCTACTTCTTCTTGGAAACTGTCTTCACTCCCTTGTCCCCTAGTATGTTGTTATGTTTTAGTTCAGAGATTCTGTTGAAAATATTGACAGAATTTTATCTATAATAGATGAGAGTGAATTAGGAAAGAGTGAGTAGCAATTTGATAATATGTAAGATTTAAAGTCTAAAGTGAACACTTTAATAGGTCTTATCAGGTATTCCCTGGCATTTTTAGTACAAAGAAACTTCAGAAATTATTATAAATTTAAGAGGTATGTAGGACAAGAGAATTAATAAGGTAAAAGAACAATAATTGTGCATCCAAAAGATAAATATTTCCTTGTTTTACTCCAAATACTTTCTTGGGCAAAGAACTTATTCTTTTAGGTGCTGCTGTACTTTCTTAGACATGCATTTGTAAAGCCATAAAGGTTAGCATTTGGTCAGAAAAATGACTGTGTCTGAGTTACAGGCAACACGGGGTAAGCTCCTGGCATTCATCCAGATGGCACCACTCATGAATCTCAGTGGAACAACCCAGACTTGGGGCTCTCATGGAAAATCTGTGCTGCTAAATATTAAAGTCAATCCTAAGAGTTACAAAGAGAGCTCCTTTGGAAAACTAGTTCAGTTATTTATTAGCACACTAAGAGTTCTGGACAGGATAGTTTTTGAAATTAATATACTATTTGATTAGACTGATTGATTGTTCCTACAACTGAAGATTTTAACATTCATTAGCCATACTAACCAATCATTAGTACTTCCTTTATCAGCAAGCAAAGAATAAACAGAAATTCTAATAAAAATTCATCACAGTGAGTGAGCTCCATTTCTAATTGAGTGTGATGGCTGCCCATGTACTAGATTAACTGCTGTAATATTGGAAGCAGAAAAGAATCTGTTACAAAATTTAAAAATATCTCTTAATGTTTACTTTATAACTGGGTTATTTTGAACATAAGCAGGAAATACAGATAATCACACACATCCAATATTATAGAAAACAAATGGGTATTTTTATACTTAATGCATTTGTGTGATATCCTCTAAATGTTCATTTCAGGAAGGACTGAAGGCATGTTAGAAAAGTTGTCTAATGTGCTGCTTAAGCCTTTCTCCCTCTACCGAAGAATAAAAACCATGATCCTGTCCTGTATTTCAGCCAGACTATTAGAATAATTGTGAATTGTAATGCAAATGTGCTGACCTGTTGTTCTGTGTGACACCTCTCTTTACCTCCTGTGTCATGAATTCCTTGTGGTTGAAGTGCAAATTGAAAGGAATTATGGAAAGAAAAGAATGAAGTAGGCAGAGAGAACCTTTTCAGAATTCACTTAGGATCACTCTAGAGCAATGTTTCTCAACCTTTTCCCCACTGTGACCCTTCTGTTTCTTTTTTTGTGGCCTTTCTGTCCTGTAAGTTTGGTGCTCTGCTCTTGTCCCATAACCCCCAACTTATACCCCCGAAAGATTTTCATCTTTTGTCCCTTTGCTTTTCTTCAACCCCAAATACTATTGATTTGTATTGGTGGACCACACCTGGCTAACTAAGGGCTTGCTTCTTTCTATCTTTGTGCTCAGGAATCACTCCTGGTAGTGCTTCCCTGCAGTGTGGAATACCTAACTGGGTTGCAGCATACAAGGAAAGCACTTAACCAATGTACTATCTCTCTGGCCCCTAGAGCCTATAGTCCTAAACTGTGGACTTATTAAACAGGTACCTGAATGTGAGAGTCAAAAAAAACTCTTTAAACATTCATTTTAACTTAAAAATCTTTATGATTATCCATAAATGTCTAATTTGTATACCTATTTTTATACCTTTATACCCAGGGTCACAACAAATTTCTTAGGCAAAAAGAGGTCATGAGAGGGAAAAGTTGAAGATGTCCTATTTTACAATATCAATAACTATAACTGCCTTTTATCAACATGGAAATACAAGTCAAAACAATAATAACATATCATCTCACACCAGTAAGACTGACACACATTGCAAAGAAAAGATACAACTAGTATTGGTGTGGATATGGGGACAATGGGACCCTCATTCAATGCTGGTAGGAATGTTGACTGGTTTAACCTTTTTGGAAAACACTGTCACTGTCACTGTCCTCCCGTTGTTCATCGATTTGCTCGAGCGGGCCCAGTAACGTCTCCATTGAAGACTTTGTTGTTACTGTGTTTGGCATATCGAATACATCACAGGTAGCTTGCCAGGCTCTGTCGTGTGGGCGAGATACTCTCGGTAGCTTACCGGGCTCTCCGAGAGGGGCGAAGGAATCAAACTTGGGTCGGCCATGTTGGCTGCGTGCAAGCCCTAACCGCTGTGCTATCGCTCCAGCCCACTATGGACATTTTTTAAAGCCAGGAATTGAACTTTCATATGATTTAGCTTCTATAAGATCTACTTCTTGATTTCTACCCCAAGGACCCAAAAGCTATTCAAAAAGACATTTGAACCCCTATCTTTATTGCAGCACAAGTCACTATACAAATATCTGTAAAAAAACCAAATATCCAAGAACAGATGACTGGATAAAGAAAAAAATATATACATTTATAGAGAGAGAGAGTGGAATATTACTCAGCTGTAAGAAAAAAAATGAAATCATACCTTTTGCTTTGTGAATTATCTGAGGAAAATCATGCTGCGTGAACTTATGTGAGGGACAGATACAGAATGATCTCTCTCATATGTCGGATATAAAGAATCATAGTAAGGGGTTATCAGATTTCCAAAGTCAATAGAAATTGAGAATTATTCTTTAGTAGAAAGCTTACCAGGAAGGAGGATGGAGGATGGGACACTGGAATATTGGCAAAAGGAGGTGAACACTGGTGAAGAATATAGTGCTAGAATGCTGTCTGAAACCCTACTATTAACAGTATTGTAAATCCTGATGCCTAATTTTTTTTAAAAAAGAAAGGAAAAAAATTATGACTACCTGATGCTGACTGCCTCCCCAGCTTTTAATGGCATGAACTCCTTTCATATGCAGAACTATATTGAGAGCTAGACCCTGCACTGATGTTCAGCAGGCAAGGAGAGTGGCATGCAAGAAGGTTAAAGTTAATGTGCCAATGTCATGAATCTGGAAAGCAGGGAGGTGAGCACTTAAGTAGGTTGGCTTAAGAACTCTTGTTCTCCACTGGGCCCTGCTTGAACATAACCTCTGCTGCAGGTTTCCCTGTGTTTCTATCTATAGGCAGTCTGTCAGGCCCTGAGGACCTATAACACCTCTCTAATGTGAAGGTAGACCACTGGAGAGCCATGTTGGATGAAAGAATCTGAAGAAAGAGTAGGAACTCATTCAGCTTCATCCCAGAATCTCAAAATTTATTACAGAAACTGTATACTGTGTAGGCAGAGAGGAGTGTGAGTGAATTTTGGCTGCTCTGTCCTTAGGATTCAGGCAAATATAAAGTAAAGTGTTATCTTAGGACTGGAGATGGGCTAATAAAAGAGGTTCCTGCATTTGAAAACTAGACCTGCACTGATAATAGTGAAATAAGTTAACAAGGATGAAAATGAACTGTTTGTCATAGAGATTGTTGAAGTGAGAAATGGAGAGATCTGTGGTTGCAGAACTGTACTGGAACTCTCTGGGCAGAGAACAGGACCCAAGAAAATATAGGTGAGAAAATCAGTCAGGTGCTGTTTATCTTAGGTCTTATTGGTAGCAAAATCAAGTTTTGAAGAGGTCGAGTCATAAAAGGGAAGGTAGAAAAAAACAGGCAGTTGAAATCTTTTAGACTCATTAATGGTTGTAGGTGATAACTGCAATTCTGTTCTGTTTCCCTGAGCAAAGCAAGTTCACATGGAAAATTCAGGATTATAGACAAGAAGTGTTTGCCATGTCTGGCTGCAGATAACATTTACTATAGATTCTGGAATTAAATCTGTATTAGAGTGAACTAAGAGGTGTCATAGGATATACTTGTCTTTACCTTCATTGCCCCATCAGTTTCACTTTTACCAAATCCAAGTTAAAAATGTAGATGAATCAATAGAAAATGGATGATTCCATAGTATACTACTTGGTTTAATAATATTATTCCTCAGTCTATGATATTTGCTTTCAGTAACATATTACTAATGCTGGAAAGGCCTTTTTCAGTAATTCTGGCTATTATGCCAGAGAGGAATATAGTAATTCTTTTAACTTTCACATCTATGCTTGAGACAGTGTTATTTCCTGACTCTTTCAAGAGGTTTTTGAATGGAGAACAGTTTTCTGCTTGCTTTCCCTAATGCCTTTTCTCTTATTCTTTTCCCTACACAGGAGACTTTGAATGTGATTGATCCAGGTTTGATGGACCTAAATGGGACAAGTGAAGATGCCCTGGAATGGGATGAAACTGACATAAGTAATAAGTTGATTAGTTTGAATGAAGAAGCCAATGACCTTGATCAAGGCTCCCAACTTGCCATGCCTTCCTTGAATTTGGAGGAGACAGGTGGGGAGGACCCTGGTTGTGAAGAGAAGGCAGGTAACTGCTCAGGATCTCAGTATGCCTCGAATGTCACTGCCTCCTCTGGTCCTCACATTTACCAGGTGTACAGTCTCCACAATGTTGACCTCTGTGAGAAAAGCCACATGCCATTCCTGAAGAACAATTCAAAACTCTCCAGCAAGACCCAGCCTGGTGTTCTTACTAAGAGTCTCAGTAAAGATTCTTCATTTTCATCTACCAAATCACTTCCAGATCTTCTTGGGGGTTCTAATTTGGTGAAGACCTGCTCATGCCACAGAGGAGATAGGAGCCAAAACTCGGGCAGCGAGAGTGGAATTGTCAGTGAAGGGGATACTGAAACCACTACCAACTCTGAAACATGTTTGCTCACTGCAGTGGATGGGTCGCCACATAACCCTGAAACAGACCATCTGGAGCCCCAAATGGGAGAGGCAGTCAATGTGCTAACACAAAAGTTTAAAGATGATGAGGAACACATTAAGCTTCCAAATAGCTCTCAGTCATCCATTTCACCAGTGGGATGTGTAAATGGAAAAGTTGGAGATTTAACCAGTGATACCAAACACACCCCTGATTGTTTAGGAGAAGAATTACAAGGAAAACATGATGTGTTTACATTTTATGATTACTCTTACCTCCAAGGCTCAAAACTCAAGTTACCAATGATAATGAAACAGTCTCAGAGTGAAAAAATACACATGGAGGATCCCTTGCTTCATGGTTTTTATTTTGATAAAAAATCCTGCAAGTCTAAACATCAGGCTACAGAGTTACAACCAGATGCCTCTCCCCATGAAAGGATTTTGGCAAGTGCATCCCATGACATGGATTACAATTCCTATAAAAGTGGTGATGTACAGAAGACATTCACGGGCATGCAGAATGCGAGACAGCTCTCTCTTTTATCTCATAGTTCATCAGTTGAGTCCCTTTCTCCAGGAGGCGATTTGTTTGGATTGGGCATCTTTAAAAATGGCAGTGAAAGCCTCCAGCGAAGCACTTCTTTAGAAAGTTGGTTGACATCCTATAAAAGCAATGAAGATCTTTTTAGTTGTCACAGCTCAGGGGATATAAGTGTGAGCAGTGGCTCAGTTGGGGAACTGAGTAAAAGGACATTAGATCTTCTGAATCGTCTGGAGAATATCCAGAGCCCCTCAGAGCAAAAGATAAAGCGAAGCATTTCTGATATCACTCTCCAAAGTAGTTCCCAAAAAATGTCCTTCACTGGCCAACTGTCTTTGGACAGAGCATCTTCAATCAATGAAGATTCCCCAGCCTCGCTGACAGAACTTAGCAGTAGCGATGAGATCTCTCTTTGCTCAGAGGATATTGTATTACACAAAAACAAGGTCCCAGAATCAAATGCGTCATTCCGGAAGCGGCTGACCCATTCAGTGGCTGATGAAAGCGACGTCAATGTCAGCATGATTGTTAATGTCTCCTGCACCTCTGCTTGCACTGATGATGAAGATGACAGTGACCTCCTCTCAAGCTCTACCCTCACCTTGACAGAAGAAGAACTGTGCATCAAAGATGAGGATGACTCCAGCATTGCAACTGACGATGAGATTTATGAAGACTGCCACTTGATGTCAGGGCTAGACTACATAAAGAATGAACTGCAGACGTGGATTCGACCAAAGTATTCCATGACAAGAGATAAGAAAAGGTGCCATCTTGGTGATGAAATAAAAGGCAGTAAGGATATAAGTGGTAGTGAAATGACCAATACCTCTGATACTCTCAATATTGAGGCACTTCTAAATGGGTCCATAAAATGTCTCTCTGAAAATAATGGAAATGGCAAGAATTCATCCTACACTCAGGAGGTAGGAACAAAGGGTGAGAATAAGAAAAACCTTTTCAAAGTTAATAAAGATCCATATGTGGCTGACATGGAAAATGGTAATATTGAAAGTACCCCAGAAAGACAGGAGATCAAATTGAGTGGGATATCCGTGGAATCAGAAACTCAAGGGAAGAGGAATTTGGAGAGTGGGCATTGTAAATGTAAAGAAGTTATAAAGACCTCAGAGGAGTCAAATATTGCTGAAAAAGTTATTGAACACCCCAGTGTTAAACATCTTTCAAAGAAATGTCAAAACCACCACCATTTTGAAACTCAAAGTTCAGCATCTACTCCCACTGACAAATCTTGCCCAGAACTGCCTTCAGAAACTAGTACTGTCAATACACAAGACAATGATGTCCCAAAATCTTCATCTAATGATGCACTGAGTGTCTCTGGGAAATCTGTTGGTTGTTGCCTTGCATTCGAACAAAGTGAACCAGAGGGAAATGCTTCTGTCAGCGATAACATTTCCTGTTGTGACTGTGCGCCAGATGTTTTCCATCAGAAAGATGCTGAAGATTGTTCAGTACATGACTTTGTCAAGGAAATAATTGGCATGGCTTCAACAGCCCTGAAAAACAAATCTCAACCTGAATATGAGGTGGCTGCACCAACTTCATTAACTCAAATCAAGGAAAAAGTACTGGAACATTCTCACCGCCCTCTTCAGCTGAGAAAGGGAGACTTTTACTCCTACCTATCTCTCTCCTCACATGACAGTGACTGTGGGGAGGTGACCAGTTACATAGAAGAAAAGAGCAGCACCCCATTGCCCCAGGATGCTACCGACTCCAGCTTAGAAGACAAGGAAGACATTGAATGCTTCTTTGAGGCCTGTGTTGAGGATGGCCCAGATATCCATGAGCCCTATTTCCCCAGCTCTCCTCCAAATGCACCGGCAGTACCTGCTGAAGTTTCAGTGCCTCCACAAGCCATAGCTGGCCCTTCTCAGTCTGGTGACGGTCCTCATCCAACTGATGATGCCGTTGGGGTTACTTATTCCAGTCCTCCCTCTCCAAACAGATCTAACATTGTAAAGGAAGTGGGCAGTTTACCCCAAGCTCCCAGTGACTCCAGGGAAAATACAGAATTAAATGATTCTTCAAGGCTGGGCAACGACAAAGAGAGTTCAGAAGACCTAGGCGAGTCTGGAATGGCAGGAGCACATAATGTGGCTCCAGCCAAACCCAGTGTTCTAGATTTCTCCTCCAAAAAAAGGCAGCCCAAAGACAAGGCTGCAGTGCATCCCAACCCCAAAACCTTAACCTGTGAAGAAAATCTCCTAAACCTTCATGAAGAGCAACATAGAAATATGCATAGGTAGAATATAACCCTCTCCAAGCATGAATATCATCTCACTGAAAGGTATGTATAGTCTTCATGTTTCCTTGCTGGGGTGGGAGAAGGTGGGGGGGGGAACTGACAGTGCTGGGGCTTACTACTGGCTCTGAGTTTCGGTGTTCCTTTAGGAATCGTTGTCCATGTGGTGCTGGAGTTTGAATCTGGGTATCCCACATGCAAAGCATACATTCAGTACTTTGAGCTATCTCTCTGCTCCAGTAGTATTCAGGGTTTAATATTTTTTATATACATACATATATTGTTTATGTATATATGCATATAATATTATATGCTAACAACATGTATGGTTAAAATGCGCACTTGAATCAATAAAGCCATGATAGGCAAGATCAGTAAGAATCGTCATAGGAAATATTTATCTGAATAAGACATTTATGTGGAAGAAACACTCCCTCAGAATGCAAGTAACTGTGAACAAGAGGAAAGATGGTCACAATTGACATTCTTAGTGACATTATCTTTATAACATCATTCTGCGAGAAGAATACAGCATTTGAAGAAGCAGCCAAAATAATTTAGCGCTTCAAATTCTTCCATTGAGAGAGGAAAAAAGGTTCTCCAAATTGCAATTAGACCCTCTGATCAGAATGCATGCACAGTAACAATGCTCCCCACTTCAGTTCCCTGCACACAGAGCTGCCTGCTCCCGTCAGTGCCTACAGATGAACAATGATTAGGTTAAAGGCTGCATCTTCTGATCTGGGCCTTCCTTTTATGCTTCTGTCTAATGTAACTATCATCACATTTGCTTTCCCAGTGGAAGGCTGTGCTGTCACATCTCCTAATCACGGCCAAGTCTAAGGATTCAAACAGGAGGGGAAGTTGATGCTAAAGAAGAGGCTCCTATTTATCTACATACAGGCTGAAAATAAGCCCAGAAAGCAAATGCAGAGAGAATACAGGACAAGTTAATGCCATTTTGATAAAGACAGAATTTTTGAAATTTGCCTAAAGGTGTCAAGCTGATTTCCATTCTTTCTCTTTTTAAGGAAAACCATTCCACTCTTTCTATTTATTAAGAACAATTTATTGATAATTCTGAGATGCTAGTGTAGCTTTAAAAGGGACAGAGAAATTTGGTTCTGGCCCATGTGTCAACCCCATCGATAAATATGCTTTTCAATTAAGTTCAAAAAAGAAGATTTGAGCTTTGGAAAGTGAGAGTTGTATTTCACCAAAGTCTGAAGTGCCAAATGCCATCTCCACCCCCCACTCCAGAAGCTTAATGCCGTAACCTAAACTCGTGCTATAGGAAATGAATTACAGAAGCAATCTACCCTAATTTGTTAACTTATTCAAATAACAGTTATTATACTTAACTATGCTAAAGATTATCTTTTTTGTGGCAGATTGTTTATTTTTTGATGAGCCTAATTACTGATTTTCTAAAAGTAATTTACATTTATTACAAATACATCTTTTAAAATGTGACAGATAAATGTTGTTCCCATAATGTATTATGAAAAAAGTTACTATTTAAAAACACATTATTTAATTTGAAAGATGAATGGCAAACATCATTATTTTTTTTCCTGCAACACCTGTGCCCTGAGCTCATTAAAATGTGTGATTCTGTGTAGAGCTGCTAGAAAAGGGGAGTTAGGGGGGAATCTATACCATATATATACCCTAAAAATAAACTCAGTATGCAAAATTGAAGAAAGGCATCCTCCTTACTAATGTAGCTCAACTAATTTTCTGTGTTTCAGACTCCATTTACAATTGACTGCAAGTGAGAACAAAAGCAGGCGAAGGAGAAATGTATTTTCTGTGAAACATGTCTACCCTGTAATCACATTCTCCATCAGTATGTAGTGAAACTGACCATTAAGGGCAAGTCACTGCAATTCCATAAGCTGCTGCAAAATAAGTTCTATTAGAACCAGTTGTACCGCTGGCTCTGCCAACCTCCACTGTGGGGCTGGTACAGCTTGGCTGATTTTTGTTTTTCTGAAAGAGGATAACGTCTTGAAAGCAACACCACTCTGAGGATACATCATGTGACCATGAACCCTCAAGTCTTGAGCCCTAGTGAGATGGGGAGTTAGGGATGCTCTGGCACCAGAAAAGCCTCTGAGAGGCCCTCTTCCTTTTGGATACTCTGAGACTAATATCTGTCCCTTTCAGAGAAGCAGAACTGAAGTGAAATGTAAATGATAAACAGCTCCATCTTTAGACTTAGGGCAGTGTATGTGCTGATAGATCTGTGTAAGTCTCACAGTGAATAAGGGAAGGACAGTGTCTGGCTGTCAGCCAGTGTGCCCAACTTGTGATAAACGTTTTAGGGAACCCAGTAATGTAAAAACTTCTACTAGGTTCCAGCAAAGGAAGAAGCTGAGGTTTACTTTTGCAGAACTTACAGTTGCCCCCAGGTGATTTGTTTACTAGTAAAAACATGTTTAGTGAAAATAGTAAAAACATGTTTACCAATCCTTGGTATTTCTCAAATCAGATAGACAAAAACATCTAGATGCCTGAAATTTTTTTTGGGGGGGTGGGTCTTTAGGACTACACCCAGTGGTGCTCAAGGCTTACTTATAGCTCTGTGCCCGGGGATCACTCTTGACCATATGTGGTTCCAGGAATTAAACTAGGGTTGGTAAAAACCAGGTCAGGTGCCTGGTTTTTTCCACCAGTAATTAACTGGGTATAATTTTTTCCTTATTTTTTTTGTTTGTTTTGGGACCACACCCAGTGATGCTCAAGAGCCAATTCCAGCTCTGTACTTGGGAGTTACTCCTGGCAGTGCTCAGAGAGCATACAGTGCCAGGGATTGAATCTAGACCTCCTGCATGCAAAGCATGTGCTCATATTCTAAATATGTTTATATCATTAAATACTTCTAGGAGTAAGAAGATAGTATCAGGGTTACGATGCTTGTGTTGCATTTTGTTGACCATGATTCAAAACCCAGACACTTCATATGGTCTCTCAAGGACTTCCAGGAGTGAGCCTGGAGCATAGAGCCAGCAATAACCTGTGATCATCACTGGATGTGGCCCCTCCCTACCATCAAAATAAAATTAAATTAAAAATACTTCCAGTCATGAGGCCAGGCCTGTGGCTCAAGTAGCATGTGTGAAGTCTGGGTATGAGCCCAGACACTACTTGGTGTGCCTTTCCACACCCCAGCAACCACAGACCAAAAACCTCCACAGCAATTTTTTTAAAAAAAGGAAAATACTACCATCTAGAGCAAGTTATCAAAATGCTGACATGCTTTTAGTGTGAAATGTCAAGAATACAGGGTCAGATTATTTGGTAAACATTAGGTTTCATGTTTATGAAAGTTGAATTGTCATTGTCTATTCTCTAAGTTTCAGAAGATCAAGGGAAAAGTTTTTTCTTTTCCCCTTTAAAAATGATACACTGGATTCTGTCTTTATCAGAATAATAAAATTAATCCATTTCAATTGATGATATTTTCCACAAGAAACAATGTTTCTGGTGATGAATAAGTTGTTATAAAATTATTCAGAAGAGGTATAACTTAGGATAGCAGGTTCAATATGAAACAGTAACAAAAATTTTGTGGAGAACTTTTGGAAAGTGGTTATTCATTTACTGTGTGCTAATTAAAATCCCTGAAAGTATTTGAGCAGTTTTACCATGGTCTAAGACAGTATGCATTTGCACTGAGTTCCAGGCACACTGCTGTGCTTTTCACTACTTTCATTTATGTGTCATGTTTCTACAGAAATAGAGAGGTCAGTTACAGCAAATCACATCAAAGGAAAGGTAACTGGCTAGGTTCAGATATTTCTGCCTAATTTGGAGGAAGCACATAATGTATGTCTGGAGTGCTTCTTAGTACCCGCCTAAGAGATGTACTTTACACTAATCTTTGGGCTGTATTCTGACAGTATTTCTTCATAATCCTCATTATAAGCTTCTGATCTTTGGTGAATGATTTAACCCTAAACTTCGGGCTGAGTAAATCCTGTCATGTGAAATGTTAACTCATTACATGCTGTTGGCATTTACTTTTTTATTTCTTTTAGTTTGCTCTGATAGTGATTTTCAGTTTTTCTTTGAGTATGTATTTGTACTTTTTGTTTTAAAGGGGAGAAGCTATATTTACTTAGGATGCATGTAGTTCTTTTAGAACTTTCCAGCTCAATTGTTTTTCCTACCATTTTGATCTGCAAATTAGTTGAGGTGGCCCAGGTGAGGCAATTACTGAGTCCATATACTTTAAAGTGTGTCCATAGTGGAAAGGATTTTACTTAGCTTTTACATGTCAAGAATGCTGTAAGAGCAAACATTTGCATGTATACAACATAATTTTTTTCATTAATTTCAAGTGTTCAGTTTAACCAAAAGCTGGTCTAGTAGGTTTAAAAAACTACTCTTGGTTATTGTGTCCTACTGTTTCACTAGACATTATAGCACATACATTACCAAATTTACCTTTAAAATCACTTTAATAAACCAATTTTCTGGTGAATGTATTTTTTAAATTTTCCAGGCTTTGTAAGTAGCTACCCTGCAATGCCAAATAATGAGGTGCTTTATTTTTGTTTTGGAGACACACCTGGCAGAACTTGGGGGCTACTTTTGGCTTAATACTTGGGAGGACGATGTGGTGCTAGGGATGAAATTTGGGGATCCAGGGTGCAAACATGTACTCAAGCACTTTAAGCTATATTCCCACCTAAATAATAAAGTTTATTTTTTAAATAACCCCTCTGCATACACACGCACACACACATACACACACACACACACACAAACACACCTGTGCTTTAGCCAATTTTGCCTACCTTGAGGCTAAATTGAAAGAACTGATAATCTAGATAGAATTTATATGCCAGCATTTAGTAATACCATATTTACCTAAGAATTTTCTCCTCAGTGGCCAGGTTTCAAATGAGTCATGTCCTCAGCTTTTGAATAATGTACCAGGCTCTTTCTGATTTACTTAATTGTTTTACTGTACCAAATTTCATCTCATCTGTCTATCTCCCCTGCTTCTTCTCCTTAACTTCCTGTGACTCTAGCCAAACCATATTTACTTTTTTCCCCTGGCTCTTAACTAAAGTGCAAAATTATAGGGAAAAAATAGCACAAGACAGAAAGAATGAGAATATTTAGTTCTAGAAGGGCAATGTGGCATTAGACTTTGGAACTTGGTTTGAACTCAGGTAAGCAAAAACTTTCTTTATTGGACTGCTAAACAGGGTCCTAAAATAATTTCTGCTTTTATTACTTAATCCTGGAATTTAGTGCTTTCTCACAAGCCACAGGTTGCTGTTAGCTCCTTAGAAATAGACAGGATCAATTGATCTTGGAACAAATTTATATCTGAATTATTGGATGTGGTAAGTAATTGAATCATTCTCGTTTCCACAATGCCTTCTATGTTTAAAATGAAATACATTAAGATTTGTGCTAGAAGCATTAGTTCTCTCTCTTGTATAGGCAAGAGGTGGAGGCGCTTGGTATATCACAATTTTCTGAATATTTTACCACGTTCTGAATATTGAATTGTTTAACTCCACTGTCACACATTGAAGAAGGGTTAAACCTGGATGCCTATATTACCATTCTGTGAATCACTGTTGATCCTTTGGTACCTTACTTCCCATTGGCAGACTACCATTTTCTTACTGATTTGAGACTGTGTTCAAATGTACATTCAAAATTTTGTTTGCAAGACAAAGAACTGAGGAGATCCAGAGAATAGTGAAAGGTGTTTTCTTTAAAGCTGTCTTTTTTTTTAATGAATCTATTTTTTGCTCAGGAATTCTTACAGTTTTATTGGTAATGTGAACCTTGGGCTGGAGCAATAGCACAGTGGAGAGGGCGTTTGCCTTGCATGCAGCCAAACCGGGTTTGTTTCCTCTGTTCCTCTCCCCGAGCCCGGCAAGCTAACGAGAGTATCCCGCCCACACTGCAAAGCCTGGCAAGCTCCCCATGACGTATTGGAACAAGTAACAAGTCTCACAGTGGAGGCATTACTGGTGCCCCCTCTAGCAAATCGAATAACGACGAGAGAACAGTGCTACAGTGCTAATGTGAACCTTGGGTAATTAAAACCATTATATATTTTAGGTATTCCTTTGTTTCAAAACTTTTGTACACACTCTCCAAAGCGGCAGCCTCGGATGGTTCTCCAAGGGCTACCCAGGGTCCAAGTATCACAAATGAAATAGACATTTCGGAACTCATTTTCTTTCTGTCACTTTTTGTGTCTTGTAGATAAGCCTGGCTGCAACTCATGGGTGGCCTTATAGCTCCACCCCGGGCTCATCTCTGGCTCCATCATGTCACTGCCGTTCGTTACTCTGACCTCTCCCAAGATGAAGCTTCCTTCTGAATGCGGTTTGTCCACATGCGCCTTGTGCTCTGGATGTGTGCACTGGTTCTCTAGGTGATCGTCTTTGAAGTTCAGCACAGCTGCTTGTTCGCCGTGGATTCCTATCCCAAGCTACCTCTTCCTACCCCATCTCTCCCTCCAACAAGACTGGTTTGCCACTGTCCTTCTCGTCTGCTCTTTATGGTTTTGCAGTTGGCAAAAATTGATGGTCCATTAAATTCGCCTCTCCTGGAATGATCCCTTGCCGATACATAATGAATTTCATGTTTCAATCTGGATATTTTTTAATGGTATTACGGCTATGTTTATCATAAGAGATTTACCTAAAAGGCCAACGTTCTATTGACTGTAGCCTAGAAAATAAACACTGGCCCTTCTTTCAAAATTAAGCAGCTTTTAAAAGTACCAATTTATTTATTTTATTTAAAAATAAATCTATGCAGCACTTCAAGATACTATACAGTGTTGTATATTGTAAACTGGTGATATTCTACTCTCATGTACACATTTTGTTTTTTTAAATGCTTCTTGAGGTGGTAATGAGAAAAAAGTTTTTTTTTTTTAAAAAGTGTGCCTTGCTGTATTTCTTATGCCATTTGTTAAAAAAAGCTGCTTTCATGGTAAAATTACATTGGTTTGAAAGGAGGAAATAGCAAGGTTAAAATGTGTGAATAATTTCTGTATATATGTATAACCAAGTACAAACATTGATGTATAATGACAGTATAAAAATGCTTTAATGTTTGTGATGTCTAGTGATGTGGAAAATATAAGCCTTAAATCCATTAGATTGCATGGTAAATAAAATTGGCATAATAAACATAGTTTATTGGGGGAAAAGGAAAATTAGTGATCTCTTCTACCTGTGTTCTTGACTAAATTATTATATCTAGCTCTGAAAAATATTACATATAGCAGCTTCCAAAGTATTCATATTGCATAAGAGGCTTAAAATTACTTAGCAACTGCACAGGAAGCCTTTAAAATTTTTTAAATCTTTTTCATTACTCTAAAAAGGTCTTGGAACACAAATTATTAAATACCAGTTCCCCTAAACCAATAAAAATATATCTCTTAGGTTTGAATTTCTACTTATTAATGAATGAATGTTGGATTTCAGGATACCTAGTATATCTAATATTTTATATTATTCTTTCAAATGAGTTTGATAGTAGAAAAGTATAGAAAATTTGACTTTGATTTAGGCTATAGATTTCAAGTATATTTATTTTGTGTTAAAAATGAAATAATATATGTTTGATTTGGTTTTTATGTATGTTACTAAATGCAGCTTTTAAAAAAGTTATATCCTCATGCCTACTAAAGTGCCTGACACACAGTAGGTATTCAGTAAAAATGTGCTGAATTGAAGTGTTGAATCCAGTAACACGAATGGCATGTCTCAAGGAGCTGGTATAATAGTACAGCAGGTAGGGTGTTTTCCATGCATGAGGCTTATCTGGGTTTGATCCCCAGTGTCCCATACGGTCCCCTGAGCACTGCCAAGAGTGATTCCTGAGTGCTGAGCCAGGAATAATCCCAGAGCACTGCTGAGTGGGGCCCCAAAATTTAAAAAAAAAATGACATGACTTTTCATTTTGAGAAAACCATCCTAATACATGTAAACAATTCAAAAATAATAATGTAGTGTGGTATGAAACTGCACTTGATGTAAATCGAATTTGTCTCAGAATTCAAAGGGAAATAATATTGTGGATTCACATAGTCAAAGTAATGACAATCACTCAAGGAACTGATAGCTAAAGCCTATTATCTGCTAGTACCTTTCTAGATTTGGGATGGGGCGGGGTGGGGGAGGCAGTAAGATCTGATCAAAGGCCTGCCCTCAGAAATCTCCTGCACTGTGGGTATAGAGAACCTACCAAGAGATACCACTGATGAGCAGAGGCAAATATGGCCAAGGAGGCTGAAAGAAAGAAGCAGTAATGAAAGCAAGAAGGAAGCAAAAAGGTTTCGAGAGAGCAGAAAGTTAGACCTGTGGTTTTCAGCCTTTTTATGTCTACAGACCAGCACCTGTGCTGCATATAGGTTCATGAGCCAACAGTTATAAACACTGTGGTAAATCAGCAATTAAAAACATTGTGCAAGACTGACACCCATCCATGGACCAATGATTGAATACCACTGAGTTAGACAATAGAAAATTAAAGACTTACTGAAAGCTTAGGAAAAAAGATAAATTGAGAGACTTTTGAAAGGTTTTTTAAGAAGTTAAGTTGGAACAGTTGTATGTAATAGGCTAGGTAGCAAAGAAACTGTAGTCTTTGTTTGGCACCAAACTTTATCATTAGAACTTTATATTAGTCTACACCAAGAACGTAAAAAAATACTAGTTGATAACACTACCATTTTAGACCCCTTTCAATCTTTTCTATACATATTTTTAAATGAATGGATCACTAAGCTTTTGGATAGGTAGTATTTTGTTCAAAGGGGGTTTTAGGCACACATCTAGATGCAGTGCTTAAGATGATCACAGGGGAAAGAGATTAGAGATAAATGTCTCATTAGGAGGCAGCTGTAGAAATTAAGCAAGACTTGCAGTAACAGTACACAGGGTTTAACTTCCTGGATAGAGAACAAATCCTAAAATTTTTGGAATGTTTAGGAGCATTCTGGATCTCTGCCGAGGTATGTTGTTATTTTATATAGTGAAATAATGAATGCCAAGTCTACATTGATTGGTGAAACATCAGAGAACAAACTAACCACAACGATGTTCTGTTTACCTGTTCTATGCTCATTGAAGACCTTGAGGTATTAAAATATTTTTTGTTATCTACGTAGTATTAACAACAAATTTGTAGAATGACTTTTGGGTTCATTGAACAATGGAATGGAAGCCAGTTAATCACTTGCTCTTTATATAGGCACAGCCTCCCCAGTCACCCTGGAAACAGTCACATTCACCTTGACTCCACACTTGCAGCCACAGCCGTTCAGAATCTGCGGAGGCAAGCTGGCCCACTAGCACCTGTCTAGTGTCTCACAGTGGGGTGTGCCTCTTGAGAAAGTCAGTTTCTTGGGTTGCTACAAATCTGCAAGTGTTCCACCTCTCTTTAATTTTATTCGCTGATGCTGGTTCTGTTCTAATGAGCTGCTCAGAGTGTTACTACAACTTCTTTCTCATGGTAATCCTGACGATCATTGAGGCCAGTTACTCATCCTCTCCCAGCTGCTATAATTTCTGTCCTTTCATTTCTTCAACTGTCCCTCATATATCATGATTTTCTGATCCATTTCAACTTAACTGAATGTTAACAAGCAGAATCCTTGCTATTAAGGAACTGTTTTCATCATCCTACATGTAGAAAAATATCTGAACATTTAAGTGGTAAGTTTTATCTAAAAATATATGCAAGATATGTTTATTCTATTATTGTACATTTCAATAAAGAAATAAATAAGTGAATAAATGAGAATCCATTACTTCCTTCAGTAGCCCAGCTCAGTGCCAGAGTCATCTTGATCTTTTTCTCATATCAAATATAAAACCTTAACCTGTTTTCATGTAAAGTAGGGCACCCTTGCCATTCATTTACTTACTCATTCATTCAACAAACATTGGTTGAGAGGCTGCTTATGTGAGGCATTATATTTGGCATTAGAGACACAAAGGCAACCAAAATGTGTTCTCTACCTACAAGAAGGTTTACAGTTTTTCTTGTGAAAGTGCCTTTTATGTCCTTGAATATTGATTTTTCCAAATTAATTGATAACTCCATTAATTTTGTTTGCTGTTTAAGTTTTTTACATTTTCAAATATCTGTTGAGCAAAAGAATATTCAGAATGATATGAGTCTGGCAGAAGTGAGTATATTGGTATTTGAAGGGTTCTAGTTAATTACAGAAAACAAGTATATTTCTTATTTCTCGTCACTGAATATGTATGTTATGCAACAACAGAACAATCTAAATTTAGGACTTTTAAGAAACTGAACTTTATTGTTTTATTGTGTTTGTTTCCTGCTGCTTGGGTTTTACTCAGGCTTTAATTTCCAGAAACAAATTAGATAAAAACATCCAAACACACTGAAATGATCCTGGTTATTTGTTATAAGTCAGATAATTTAATATGAAATTGCTATTGTTTTAAACTTTCAGTAGATACCTGATTTTCAAGCATCTTATTTATATCTTTCAAGGTTTTCTAATGAAACAATTTACAAGGATGTCTCCTTTTCCTACATTTCCTTTCCTAATTTTTATTTTAAATAATTTCAAATCTATATCAAAGTTGAACAAGCTCATACAATGAATTTGAATATTCATCATTCAGATTCATTGTAATAATAGTTTGCTTCATCTCTTCAAAGTGTTTTTGGTATGGTTGACCCTTTGAGATTAAAATATCATAATGTTTCATCTGTAAATGCTTTAGTATATATTATTTAATTACAAAGGCATTATTTTACAAGTCTACAATGTTGTCTTCACTTCCAAATATGTAACAGTGACACAATAATATTGTGTGAGAATCCAAATTCATATTTTTCTGAATTTTCTATTAATGTCCTTTAACAGTTGTTTTAATTTTAATCCAGGATCCAAACAAAAATCATACATTGCTTCTATATTTTGTCTTTTGAAACTTGAACAGTTGCCTCGCTCTATTATTTCTTTGGTCTTTCATAATTAACATTTCTGCAATAGATGCCAGTTTTATAGAATGACTCAGAATCTGGATGTGTCCAGATGTTTTCTCATTATTCAACTCAGGGTAAACCTCTTTTTCTAGTATAGAACATTGGTGATGTTGTGTTCAAGAGCTAGTCTTTATTGAGAGCGAATGAATCACCGACACTCTTGATGTGCCTGAAAGATCATGACTTAACTCTTACAGCTCATGCTTTATTAGTGTAAGGCAAAGGTCAGCAGACTACAGTTCATGGGCCAAACCTGGCCCACAGCCTATATTTGTTTGGCCTGTGAACTAAGAATGATTTTGTTTTTAAATGGCTGAAAATATTTCAAAGGATTATTACAATGACGTGAAAATTATATGAAATTAAAATGTCAGTGTCCATAAATAAAGTTTTACTGAAACAGAGCCACACATATTTGTTTACATATTGTCTATGGCTGCTCTTGCACTGTAACTTCAGATTTATGTAACTATGACAGTGTGCAGATAGTATGCAAGTCCAAAATATTTATTGTTTGGCCCATTACAGAAAAATGCCTTCCTATTCATGCTCTATGGTTTTCTAAATTCTGACACCATTTTCTTAAAGGCAGATAGTTTTCTATTTGCGAAATTGAATTAAACATATTAGCACCTTTAATACTGATTGCATTCTAGATTTTATTGAGTTCTCAGTTTAGTTTCATGTTATCTTAGTAAAATTAAGTGGGCTTTGTGTCGTGAGCTTAAAGATTGGTACACACAGTTGGCTTAAGGATTTAAATTTAGTTTACTTATTATAGTCTATCTTTGATTGATTTAGAGGGATAGTCAATTACAGTCTAAGTCATTAGTTTAATCAAAGCCATCAGGAAAATTGACACAACCTAAACTCACTTCAAATCACCAATTAAC